ATAATAATATATATATAATAATATAGATATAATAATAATATATATATAATAATATAGATATAATGTTGAATAATTGAATAAATCGTCTCGGCTTTGAATTCGCGTGAAATCGGGCGAGTCTCAATTTTCTACAACGCGAGAGAGTCATTTCGCGGACCGTTGGCATTGTCCTCGTTATGCATCGTTCGACACGACGTTCAATGCAACCTTTGAATGCTCGTTAAATGTTATTTCGTATCTCGTTGATTCTACCATTCTCTACCCTTATCTCGCGACTTGATAATAGTAGCTGTTTCAAAAATATCAAACGATCGGATAATACTTGTCCTAAGGATTTCTAAAATTCACAATAACGGAATATCTATTCCTATGTTTACGATTTACGAATAATGATTCTACACCATCGACATAAAATACAATTACTATTTTTTATTTGTTCATGTGCAAATGTATCAAATAATTCCCTCGTTTAAAAGATAATTAATTATCAAGATAAAAATATAAATTAATCTGCTAGTCACAAATATTCGTGTTATTTTAAATAACTTATATTAATAGAGAATATGCGATTGTGGATTAAAAAGTTTTAATCCTAACATGAGAAACAATTTTTTGTTTACAAATAAAATCCTCGTAATTATATTTAACACAAAATTATGATCTCTATCTGAAATACAATTAAATATAATTATTTAAAATATACAGTATAGTATAGGCATGCACAAACCTAGACATAATATTTCATTTATAAACATATAAATAATCTATTCATCAAAAATGGAAAAAAAACATTATTAAAGGTGTAAGAATGTCACACCATCTAATTCATTTTAAGGATAGTTTTTACCGTATATATGGTAAAGTACTTATTTTAGTAGACGTCCGAATCGAGGTTGATCCTTTGGACGTTACTCGACTTGCCGACAACGAGAGTCATTCCTTATCCTGACACCTCTTACCTTAAAACTTTTCTACTAGTTCGCCTATCGTCGTAATAATAAATATTGTCTCTGACAATCCTTGCCTTAGCGAACATGGATGGTACGATCGTGAGTCGGTAAAAACATTACGCGAATAGGAAAAAGAAAAAAAGAGAATTTTCTTCTCTTTTATTATCACCAATAATTCTTTCTTTCCACTTTCTCTTTCTACTTTTTTTTTCACCGAAAGATAAGGGCTTATCTTCTATCCTGCATTTAACTTGCCGTTTTCTTCAACTTACCGATATCGAGTTTGAAAGTTTCTTTAACAGATAGGGAAAGATAAATAATGCGAATAATTCATCGATGAATATTAAATCTATCGTCGTTTAGATCGTTAAAAAATCTTTACAAAAATAAGTGTCCCTTTTTTTTTTTATAAATAAATCTAACAACCTATGATCGTATCAAATAATTATAAAGTGATGGGAGTTGAAAGAAATTATCTTTTTAATTCTATGAAAGCAAAATTGTTATTAGGTTTGAAAAGTTGATTTATAATTATATATTAAAACTAATAAATAAAAAATAACATAATTAGATATGCTATTTATTTAGTAACCAATCTAATAATTATGTGAAACGATAAAAATATGATTTCAATATAAATTAATTTGATTATAAAATATCGTATTAAGTTCACAAGTAATTTAACTCGATATATTCTATATAAATTTATTATGTATATTTTTTAATTTTGTAAATATTAACTTGGTAATTATTAATGAAGCATGTTTTTAAATTACCAATTAAAACCATCAACCGAGCTACATTACTCGATAATTAGTACACCGATACTTGCTTTTCATTGATACATATGTATGTACCTAAATATATTGCTCTCGACCCTTCCCTATGCTTTCTCGTTTTTCGTGTTACTCTCTCACTTCTACTAAAACATGAATACTCGCGTAAGTTTCGCGTTAAGGGTAATAAACGCTTAAGAACCCCTCCATCTTTCGTGATTTCACGATAATTTGATACACGAAACGTTATTTTTTGTTTCATTCGCCCAACAAATAGTTTTTATCGAATACAATTATTAATTATGTTACACCTAAAATGTCTTGTCAGATAAACAAAAAATAATAGAAAATAATGCACTCGCTGTATATGTGTTTTTATGTCTTAGATTACACCTGTTGAAATTAAGTAGATTTTATATCTTTATCGTCACAATTGTTAATTATATTATTCGTATGTAGAAAAATATATATATATATATATGCATGCTTGAAAAAATCATGCAAAACTTAATTTATAAAATGAAATATGACTTAAAATAGTTATATAGAAATCAGAATCTACTCTATATCGAAAACCCAAATAAAAAGAGAAAGAAAAAAAAAGGAAAATAATTTTTAACGTTCGAACGATAAATTGTTACAGTTGCGGAAGCCAGTATCGACACTCTCGATTCCGGGAGCGATGAAGAACAGCGGTGGAAGTGGTGGTGGTGGTGGTGGTGGAGGTGTAGGAAGTGGAGTTGGTAGCAGTGGTGGCGCAGGAGGGGGTATCGGAGGTACCGGTTGCGGAAGTGCCGGAGCTGCGAATGCTGGCGAGGATGCAGGAATTGCACTCGTTGGTGTCCATAGCGAGTATCCGCGTTACGTTGACGATAGGGTACTAGGAGGAGGTGGCCCTATGAAGGGACCATCCGGTAGTATCGGACCTGGTTCCAAACACAAACCCAACGTCGGTTATCGTCTCGGAAGGCGGAAGGCACTTTTCGAGAAACGCAAACGCATCAGCGATTATGCACTAGTTATGGGAATGTTCGGCATCATTGTCATGGTCATCGAGAATGAACTCTCCAGCGCCGGCGTTTACGGGAAGGTCAGTACTTTTTATAATATATTTTATTTGAAATTTTATTCTTTAATATTTCCTAAAACACATTAACGCGTCGCATATAATTTAATATTTTGTTAGTCTTTTTTTTTCGTTTAATTATTCGTAACAACAACGAAACATTCATAAAAGAATTTTCGAGATACACGATAATTGCATCTCAACGTGTTTAAGCTTCTGTAATAGAATTTTTAATTATAACATTACAAAATGTATATATTGTATATTTCTTTTTTTGTTTCACAGTCTAGTATAATGATTAATCATGTTTAAAATATTAATTAATAGATAATTATTAATCAACGTGTACATATACCTGTCTATAAGAATACCTGTCTTAGATGAAAAATCCCAGAGCAACACAAAAATACGTGCGTTAACGTCGAGCTTTCAACTTGAAATGATTTGTATCGAGTATACGTGTGTTTACATCGATAATATTCTTGAATACGCGTCATCAAAAATTCTAAGAATTGATAAACACATAAAATTAAACACATTTATTTCAACGTATAATATATTTTATTTATCTGCGCGTGTTTTTTTCCTTCGTATATGTGCCGGTTGTAAACACTTTTTTGTTTTATCACGTTCGCCGTTTTCTAAAAATTTACACGCCCATTCGAACTAGTTGATTTGATTTTTACGTCGCAACGCGAACATTACTATGCTTTTTTATTTTTATTTTTTATTTTTAACGTCAAACGTGACAAACGTGGCTGCTTTTCAAATGGTCTAAATTCAAAAAGCGAATAATTGATTTTTCATTCGTCGTTTTGGCAAAAAGAATAATCGAGAAAACTGGAAACATTTTTCGACGCACTTTTTTTTTTTTTATAAAAATTCACCGAAGACTGAGTATGACCTAAATTTGTTGACAAAAACTATAATCGATGTAAGACAACATTTTTATTCGTGCATATTACTAATTCATTGTTTACAAGATTTATTTAAATTGAATTCAAAGCAATTCTCATTAACAATAAGTTACCGAAAGGAATTTCTTAATAGCACGATCTATTACTACTACCTCGTATTATACGAAAATTCCGACAACTACTTAAGATAATTATGTTTGAAAGTTTTCTTCTCTTCTAGATCATTAACAATGATAACGTCCGTTCTCTCGCGCGTTTTAACTAAAAGAACAAGAAGTAAAGTATTAAAAAATAAAACGGAATTAGAAATGAATTTTCTTCGAGAAGTTTCGTATGAATTAAACAAACGTATTTAATCTTGACACGACGATATAATAATTTATCATCGATCATCGTCTCGATTTTACGTTTGTTTTATCGAATGAAAAATTAACTCGCGTAAAAATTTAATTATACATAAAAACATATACGTATATACAGACTTAATTAAAATAAAATTCTTAGATAATATTAAAAATCGATTACTTTCTAGTCGAGACTAATTTTTCCTGAAATCCACAAACTTTTGAGGAACCTAATATAATGAATTTTGCACAAGTTAGTTATCGATATAATAAACCTATACATATATTACCTATACATATAAAACCACAAACTTTTAGCCTATATTGAAACTTTTGATTAACCCACCTATAACTAATGTTCACGAATTAGTTATATATTATATATAATATATAATATAATATAATATATAGAAAATATTCTATATCTCATTCTTATATACTACACATATAGAATAAAATTTGACAAAGATCGGACTAATGTCACGAAAAATGAATGAAACTTTGAACTATGTTTTCTCTATTATCGGCTCTCATTCGAACCTCCCTACCTAAATCATTCTTTTTCAAAGATGACATCGCGAGATTTCTCTTTGACTTTGTGGCCCTTAGTGATCCTTACAAACGACGCGTCGTATTGATTTTCCCGTCTTCTACATTAACGTTCGTCTACCCTGATAGGATTTACTTCGGACGGCGACTAAACGAAAAGAGAAAACTAGTTTCCTTTCTCCGAACTTTTCGGATAAGCACGAAGCGACACTTAAGTAGAAGCTTTATTGTCGTCCCTGTTCGTTCATTCTCTCTCTCTCATTCTCTCACTTTCACTCTCTCTCTCTCTGTCTCTCTTTCTCTCCCTCTTTTTTTCTCATATACACTCTTATTCTTCACCCTTTTTTTCCTATATAAAAACATACACACATAGTTTCGTCTCCAAGGCACGATCTTTCTCAAGAGGAGGAGTCGAGCATGTATCGAACGGATAACCATATCTTTTGAAAAATATATCCTACGTGAGAAACGCGAATGGATCAGAAAGAAGTATTTTCGTTGAAATATCCCACCTAATACTTATTCTCTACACAAAATCCTTTTACAAGATCCAACAAATCCACTTGTAATAGTCCCAAAGGATTTTCGATAAAAGTAACGATAATGATAATAATAATAATAATAAAACGTAAATAACATTAAAATTCGATTTTGTAAAATCTTCATTCAAGAGTCTGCAAAGATTTGCAATGAAAGAAAAAACAAAATTTATATATATAGTAAAAGTATTATAAAAATCTAAAAAAAAGGATACGATTTTGTTACAAGATTCTCTTTTTTTTTCTTACAATCTCCAAAGAATTGTTATAAAAATAATAATAATAATAATGTTTAAACAAAAAAGTTATAAGTACCCGAGTTACTACAAAAAAAAAAAAAGAAACTATGTTAACATATTCAACGATACTCTGAACGATCGGAACTCGTTTAAGAAAACTTTTAACGACCGGAAAAATCCCTATTGGACCAGAAAAGAAATTCGAAACGTAAGTTCACTTCATTGATTTTGAAATGAAGTACAAGTGAATACGTTTTATACGATCTGTGTGTGAAATATATGCGATGTAGTGAGACATTTTTCCTTCTATTTTTTGTTCTTTTATTTTTATTCCTTCTTTTTTTTCTTTTGTTAAATAACCGAGAAAAATCAAGCTAAAGAGCCAAAAGGAAAATATCCACGGCGACTGATGTACTTTGTTGATCGGAACAATCTTTCTTCTGAGTTTGTGCCAAAAGCTGGGAAATGGATTAACAATATCGATAGATAGAAGGATAGGAAGGGAACGAAAGGGTGGAAGGAACAGAAAAAGAGAGAGAGAGAGAGACAGCTTCGTGTGTTTGCCTTTAAAAGACGACGGTTATGTCTCTATTTACTCTATTTTTCTCTATCGAAAACGGAATTCTGCGCCAAATCATACATGAGAATGTAGAATCTTCTTTCTATTGGTATAATATAAAAATATTATATAATGCGTAGACTATATATATTATATTGACATAGTTCCCTATATAATATCGTCATTGCTAATCAAAAATAAATTAAACTCTAATGGATGTATTAAAAAATTTATTTTGTATTTTTTTGTGTGTGTTTAAATAAAATTTAAGATCATATCTCGTATATAGAAAAATCTCATATATATTCGCATATTGGTTATGTTTATTAAATATTTTCCAGTTTCTTATCTATTTAAATATAAACTAAATTTGAATATACGTATCATTCGAGAGTTTACTTTTCATTTTGGACATTTTGAAAGCGATGTTCTATATATGCACTAGCTGCGTTAAATGTATATATTCATTTACATGAATATACACGTATATATTGATGTGTATATATATATATGTGTATATATATATGTAAAAAACTATACTTCCACATACACACATAGCTACATAGGTCGACTTGCAAATCGGGGAATGAAACATTCCAAGAAACCGAAACTTGGTAGTATGTACCAAGAAAACTCTTGGCATTCGTGAGAACACGAAAGACCGTCAAGAAAGTGCATTACGTTCCTTTTCCGTGAGAATAAAGGGAACGTGAAAGAAGAACTCCTTCTTCTCACACGCCGATAAATATATCGAGCTTTTCACGCTTTCTTTATGTTCTTTGTATCACCGTGTGATGTGGATATATAAGACATGTATGCGTGATCTTTTTTTCGTCTTTTTAACAACGCCCAAAAGGACCAATTCTTCTTAGTATTATTCACTTTGACACAATGTGAAAGAAAATTCAATTTTCAAAAGCTAAGAGAAAATTCTGTCTATCATAAAGAAATTTTGTTAAATTTTGTATAATTATATTTAGCTACTATTTATATCGGGTCAGTATTTTAGAACTATGTGTTAATTGTTATAAGTATGTAAATATAATAAAAATATTCCCCATTGTATAACAATCGAATTCGCATGGTAATTTCCTGTATTGTAATCGTTTTATTAAGTAGTACAAGTCAGGCATTTATGTACAGTCAGAAATTTAAATAGTAAGAGTCAAGGTTTCAAACGTCAGATATTTAAGTAGTACAAGTCAACCATTTATACGTGATCAAACATTGAGGTAGTAACAGTCAGGGAATCTACACATGATCAGACATTATGAACAAAAAGAAAAAGAAAGAAATATTTTAGAAAAAGTAACAAATTGAAATCCTCAAGCGATTAATAAGAGAAGAGTTATAAATGAGACACAAAATGTCAGGAAAAAATAAAACGCGATATAAAAAATGAAGACAACGAAAGAAAAAGAAAAGAAATCGAATCACACGTAACAACAAGTACTGCGCAGATAATTACGACGAGAAGAGTTGAAACCAAAAAAATGTCAGAAAAGTTAAAGAAAAGTAGAAAAGAAACATAAGTAAGTAGTTACAACTAATTAACAATTTTCAAATATTATTTGTAATTATCTATTTTATCTTTATATTTCTTTCCGTCTTCTCAGTTTTAATGATACCAAGAGAAATCCTTTTGTTTGTCCTTACAATTAGTACTTAATCCATATCTCTTTTGTTTTACTTCGTGATGAATCGAAATTACTCTGGGCCATGAAAGAATGTATCTCGAGGATAACATGATGAATAAATAAGAATATATATATATACCTGTATACAGATATCTCTCTAATGGTAAGTTCTTTCTGAAAGAGATAATGAGACCAATAAAACCTTTTCTTTTTTCCTCTTTCTTTTTTTCTTTTTCTCCT